CACCCCTACCCAATTTGGGGTGGTATTATCTCCCCGGGCAACCACAACACTCACCTATACTTGTACTTCGAACGTCTAAACAGTTTTGGTGGTGAAAGTGAAGTTCTTCTCTTAGGCTTTATTTCCTTTGGATTCTGAGAACTACAATGAATGATGAAATCAACTCACTTCATAATTTCAGCACTTGGCAACGGGTTACAATACTAGCTGTATTTGAGGTTACATTTACTATTAACCATTTACATAACGAACACTAGCTGTATTTGAGGTTACATTTACTATTAACCATTTACATAACGAACACTACGACGAGTCGACCGGGAAGACGAGGAACTGAGAGAGTTATAAGTGCTTTGCCCAAGGATACTACGTGATGTCCCGGTCTGGAAAGCGAACCCAGGCCTATAGGGCGTTTAATCTCCTACTTATCTGACTAATTGCGTATTCGAAGGCTTTATACATGCGGCTTATCACATTTTGTTCGTTCTTTGTAGAATTTTATCTTTACATCTACTGTCCTCGTGCAATTCTCGACTCAGGTTACAAATTGTGTATTAGTCAGTGTATTAGTACTCTCCAATGCAACATCAAGTACTTTACTGCTTTCGCTATATAACGTGCGTTGCATTTGCACTGCAAAAACGCGTTTTCACCAATGGGAATAAGACTGTCGTGTTTACCTGTAAAATGCGTGGTGTTCTACAGAGCATTTCCACAGATGCTTGCAGGCCAGTGGGTCAGGTAGTCTGAATCCATAATTAGCCTTACGCTGTACAGAAAAAAAAAACAGTGAAAATCACAATAAATAAATATGGTAACCAATGTTACTGGGTTTCATAATTCCCTGAATATGAGCGAGTTTGTGCAGAAGACACGTGTCATGACGTAAACAATAGATTAACATTGAGTATGATATTATGAATTATGCAGCCCAAGGAGCATTCTTACTTTATCATCTATTGAAGACATAGAAAAACATGAAATTTCCTTTTTTGAGAATTTGGAGTCTGACAGGCTTTCCATCSTTACATCATTGAACTGCCTACCTCCTCTTTAAGGACTTGAATGTAGAAAACCTTGCCATCGTAAGAACACTTAACAATCTGAGGCCTGTACATCATAAAATATATCATTAGCATTAGCCTGATAAAGTGAAGTCTAACCGACTATTGCTAGAAAACTGCCCATTTCCATTAAATTTGAACCAGCCATATCTATCAAGCATGGACTG